TAAAAATTTAATATATCTAGCAAGGAAAAGAAGAATTGTGTGAAAAGACGACTATGTCATGTCGACGTGAGAAAATAATGAATGCAATCTTGTAGAGAACAGCTTCCGCTATCGAATAGTAGATGTGATTATCTTTATAGATTTACTGCTTTCTGTTTACTTTTCAATAGATGGCTCCACATATTCAAATGTCAAGCAGTACGATGTTGAAGCACTCCGCCAAGCATATACACTATATATAGATAGAAGAATTCTTTTTTTAACCCAAAACCTTTGGAAAAATATCTATTCGATTTTATTTTATAAGTTTTACAACAATATTCTCATTGAATTTTTATTTTTGCAGTGTTGATTGCCTAGTAGCTGTTGGAAAGAAAAGTTCCGTTTTACATACAACTGAAAAATTCTATGATCGCCTTCGTGAATCACGTAATAATCCACAAAAAATGGTTAACTCACCAATGCTTCTCGCTGATAATATTGGCGATGTTCTTGGTGAAGCAGTAAGAAGAAAACTTTGAGAAAAAAAACATTTATTGTACAAAAACTTTCCTTCTGATTTTATTTAGCCTGATATTTTGGCTAAATCCATGCAATTCTTTTTGCAAGGCATTGGTTTATGTATGTATCTACCGAAGTATACTGTAATAAAATTACATGCTTTATGCTCGTTTAGTATCTGGTTTACCAATGGAAGCTGGTTTAGTGGGTTTAGGTCGTCTATCTCGTGCGATGTCAATGGAAGATGCTGACCGTCCAAGACGAAGTTCTGTACTTACATCATCATCTGGTACAGCTTCACCACCCGTAGTCGGTTCACCGCCCAAATCTTCTTCGTAAACTTCGTTTTAAATCATATACACACGCATATACATATATATGAAACAACAAAAAATTCTTTTTCTTTACGCACTCTTTTTATAGCACAAAGTGATGTGAACTTTTAAGGCATAAACATTGGCAATTAAAAGTGTGCATAGTTTTTCACACTTTCATTTCTTGATCTCCTTTTTACTCTTCATTTTCGTCTTGTGCAGTAGTGTTTAACTGTCATTGTGCGCGTTTGTCACATGAACTGACGTAACAATGTATTATCATGCGTACTTACAATTTCATCGGAATGACTAAATTCTTTTTCCTTCATCTTTATACAGCATTGTATTCTTTTCATTCGTATCTTTTTTTCGTCCTATGATCCAGCAAAAGGAAATACAATTATTTGGAAGAATGTGTTTGCGCACTACCTTTAGAATATAGGAAAAACATATTTTTACTTATGAAATTTCCCTGGATTTAAAGATTGGTTGTTTTGAAACAAATATATAAATGCTGAGAAAATATCGATTGGAAAAATTAATAGCTACAAAATCAATCATCTATAATATTTTAAATCCATGTTTCTATAAAAACATTCGCGTTCAAAATTCTGTAACACAACAATTATTCTACAAAGAAAATCAAATCATATAGTGACGTTGAATAAGGACTTATCGAATGACTCGTTTATGAAAATATGGGATGAATTCTTTGTGAAATTATCATCAGTTCCATAGTGACTCATCTTTTATTTGTGTTAGCCGTATTGAACAAATCAATAATAATCTTGTCTATTTGCATTCAATACAATAAAACTTCCGAGATAGTACATTTCTGTTTGATGACGCTTTTAATAATCTCATATGATGACTTGAATAAAGTGCAAGATCTATATAGTAGGCGTTATTACTCTAGTGAATTTGTTGACATCGATTTTTCTATTCTTATTTTAACTAATTCCTAAAATAGTAATCACTAACAAATAAAGATAATTAAGACTGGCAGAAAAAAAGATAGCAACGCTATTCTTTCGGAGAAAACATGCTAATTTTGTCTCAACCATACAAAATGATGAGAAATGTTTGTGTTACTATACTTACGTCAGATTCATGGATGTGAACAAAAATGTAGATAATACGTATTGAAATTTGTGTTCTGCTTTCGACGAAAAGAGAGTACTTCGATGCAGTAATTTTTGTATTATGTAACCATTGTTTCTATCTCATTTATATAAAAACACAAGACGTAGAAATTATACTTTGATTTATGATATGAATAGATGTGTTTGTATAATATCGTGAAAAATAAAAGGATAGTTCAATAATAAGGTCATTATCAAAGAATGACTAATGAGCGAAAAGACTTATTATTTTTCTCAAAATGGCATGCTAATGACACCAACTTGGCGTTTCTCATTCTTAAATGCAACCTATTCGTGTACTAATTGGCTTAAGTTTTTGAGAAACACGATTGAAATGAGTGTTGTATACGTAGCGATAACGCTACACCCGCTGCAGACCTTCACTATAGACTTTGATATGGACTCTTGCATGCTGTTTTTTTTATTTGTTTGCATATCATTATTTATTAAACGCTTGTATTTCTATACAAAGAAATCATCATTGTTATTTTTCATATTGTAATCCAGCTGCGATCTCATTGAGAGTCATTTGCACCATTGTTATAATACATCTTTGAGGATTATTTCTCAGCTTGAAGTATATAGAGCTATTCTTATCGATGAATTGCAATCACAATTAACTAACTTTTCATAAAAACAAACCACAAAAATATTAGATGAAATTTAATCTTGCAAATACGGAAAGATCGAGTTCGACGATTCAATGAGAAACAATTATTTGTGAGTTTATTGAAACCAAAACTGTGACAACAGTTAAAAATGATTATCAAGGGAGTTGTAACTGATGATTCAGGGGATTTATTTATGATTAAATTACCAAATTTTGAATATATGGTCTTATAAAACAATTTCGCGTTGCTTTAATTTGTTTTCTACACTTTGTATAAGAATGTTCACATGAAATAAAACAATTTAAATATTTGTAAAATGTTTTATTCTCATCAAAAGCTTTCACAACAGAGGTGCAGAATCTACCCGTGTGCGCGTACGGCCGTGTGGGGAAAATTTTGCAAACCTAAGCATCAGGAGAAATTTTTGGAAAAATATTTTTTCTTCTAAGCGTGCAGGGGAAGTATTTTTCCAAACGAATCCTGTTTTATTTATATGTGCAGCGATCATATCATGCATCTTTCTTCTTTTATTTTATGTAAATTTTGAAAGAATCATCCATTTCTTACTCACGGTTTCAGTATATTCTTCTTTGTTTGACGCTGATGATGCGTCGCACTACTGTTTATCTTTCGCTCTTTCTTGGGCGTAACTATGATGCAAAAACGGCTATTTGTTTTCTCCTCTTTTCGTTTTGTTTTTCCCTAACCGAATGCCACTAGTTGTTGTCTTTTCTCTATAGATACATATCGTTGTAATTGTGTACTCCTATACATATACAAGCGCTATGATGACTAATCTACAATCATAGAACAGATGACGCATACTATGATCCTTGTCACTCGCAAATCTTTTCTTTTCACTCATTTTTGTTTCGCTTCCTCTTAGTTTTTAGAATATTTAGCATGTCTGAATAATGGAAATGTATTCTAGTAAATAGCAGGTATCATGTTTTTATTGTGGATGAGTGGGACGAAAAGATAACGTAAACGTACATTAGAAAAAAAACACCATAAGGAAATATTTAAATTAACGATTCCTAAAAATAACTTAACCAGATATCATTGTGATAAAGAAACAACTGAAAGTAGCAGAACAATTACCAGTGGTGATTATGAGGATGCTAATAAATTTGAAAAATAACAGCAAGAAAATGTCATTCTATAATCTCCTGGCTTAGCAAAACCCATAAATCAGCACTGCCACTTCACCTTCAATATTAACGTAGAAAAAAAACAACAGAGAATCATCATATACACAAGTGGGTGATGTGATAATGACTGGATTCTATCAAATATTGAGATGATTTCTTGATACTGAGGGGTTTAAAAATCAATAATAATTTAGAGACAATCACGATTATGCCTTGTTCTATCTGGAAAAGACAACCACCAAAACATTTATTAGATGTCATAAAATTTCATGTGAGATTTTTCAACATATTAAACAGAAAGTAAATGAACTTCTATCACCCCGATTTCAAAGTTTAAAAGCTAATGTGGAATTACACTTTTAAAACAAATCACATACTGTATACATGATGTGCACAAGAACAAAATGAAAGACAACAAACATTGAAGATTTTCATAAAAAGAATGAAAAAGCTAGATTGACTGTTTACAGAGTTGCTTTGTTTTTTATTCGAAGCAGTTTAGGTGGCGTTAGATTTGTTGATACACTAAATCTACAAGAATTATATGAAGCACCTGTTGGTACATATAGATAAATTCAATTTTTTTCTGTAATCTTTACATGAAGTATATAAGTTGCTTCTGTTATATTTAAACAGTCGGTAGGTTTTTGAGAAACTTAGAACATCAATGGCAAGAATTATGAAAGAACAAGTCATAGACTATTGGCAATCTTTTTAAGGATATACCTACATCTTAAACGAGAATTCCTTGCTTTATTATTCAATTTTATAGTGGGGGAAATTTCCCAAAAAGAAAATTTCCGTGTGGGGAAATTTTGTATTTTTTCGGCAGATTCTGCACCCCTGTTTCACAATTCCAATTTCTGGCTTGAATGAACTTCAGAATCATCAAACTTCATTGAAAACTGTATCACTTTGAACTTGAATAACTGAGAGTCTATATCAATCTTGACAATGTTGATTATCGAATTTTCTCCGTTTCCAGTAAAATTCTTATGATATGGTACTGTATTTTCGAGCGTGTTGTTATCATAATAGTGAATAAACTATAGCTCGGATTATATCACTATTTTATCGACAACGTATTTAGTTATGTAGTTCGAAAGAGAGAAGAAGAAGCCAAACATGCATCTTTCAAATAAATATATATCGTCGTCTTTACTTTTACACGTGTCTATTTTATACTTCGAGAGAAAGAAAGAATAATAGTAATAATAACATCTATACTATTATTTATTTATCTGCTTGTTTATTTATTATTTGATCGTGCCACTTTGTTCAATGACTTTCGATGATAGTCCATCCGTGCATAGTGCAATTGATAAGTGTGTATTTTTAATTGAACTTTTTCCTATAGCATAAAAACAAAATTTTGAAGATTATCTGCTAGAAACAAACAACATCATTCATGCAGCAAGGCGATAAGTCTTATTTTTGCTCTTGCTTCATATATTCTTGCATTAACATGGATAATTGGCGATCTTTTCTTGGACAGTCAGGGTAAGTTTGTCAAATAGGCGATAAATTGATACCTTAAAAAGCTTATGAATGTTAAGAAGGCTCTCAACTCTCTTACAATGCAATAAATCTATTGTTTCTAAAGATCTATAAAAAATATACCAATAAAAATCTGTTTTCTTTACAAATTTAAATAGTCTTCGGTCGTACACTTAATCATTTTCATTCACATATTATTCCATTGAGTACACCTAAAAAATGGATTGCACCACTTTGGCTAACTGTCTATGGTTTGCAAGTAAGACTAGTTTGTATATTATCGATTCTTTTTTCAATTGAAATGTTATATGTAGACTCCTTGGTTACTCTATGCAATAACAACATTATGTCGCCGTAATGGTTGTAATAGTGATAGTGATTATTTATATAAATATCCACGTCCAGTATCTCGAATGCAATTATTTACATTTAGTCTTAGTTGTTGGTCACATTTGATATTTTTATTTCTTATTCAACATCAATCAAATTTAGTATGTACTTTTACATATCTTGCATTTCAATACTATTATTTTTCTCATTTAGCTTGCAATTATTTATTTAGTATTAGGTACAATGGCATTAATATTTTGTCTTCTCACATCTATAATACATCTTCATAATTATGAACGTGAATTATCTACATCTCATTTGTAAGAAAAACAATATAATTCATTTTCGAAATTTCTGAAAATATTCTTTATAGATTTACTGATATATGGTCAATAAGAATACTTGTTCATAATGGTCTTAGTGTGATGTTAGCATGGCAAATAACATTAGTTGCTTATTCATCTCTATATGCTTGTAATAGAGTACTTTTGTCATCATCAACAGTATCGAATGAAATAAATGAATTAACATTGAATCTGATTAGTATTTGTCTTATTGGTTCAATGTGCATTATAGCAATATTCTATATTCTAATAATGTCATGTTGTTTTTCCAATACGATGTGCCATGTTGTTGCTGGATGGATATTTCTTGTTTTATTGACAATAATTCATTGGTACTATCATAACCATCAACCCAATTCTTTACTTCTGAAATCATTTTATGTATCGGCAGGATTGTTTTCATTCATTATATGTTTGCATTTTATTTTAGCTCTGTTCCGTTACTCAGGCGTCACATGTAGACCGTTGACCAATTCAAATAGACATAATTATCGTCATGGTATACTTCAAGGAAAAGATTGATTTTATTGTTTCGTTTGTTTTTTAAAAGATTCTTTTGTTTATTCCATTTCTTTTTATGTCAAGCCATTTATTGAATAAATATATTTAGTAAAAGAAAAAAGGTAAAAATATGTAGTTTTAATAAAAGTACAAGGTCTTGAATTAAGATTTACGTCAAAGGATTAATGAAAAGTAGCTCGTTTATAAATCAAACCAAATCATATTCATTAATAATTCATTGAGATTTTAGCATTGATTTATCATTTCTTTAATATGTCCTTTAAGTTAAAGACAATTAAAGTTACCACTTCAATTGTAACACCATAATAGATATAAAAAAAGGATAAAAAAAGAGATTCTGTTATTAGGACATAATTTAGGATCAGAATAGAACATAACAAAACAGTATAGTGCTAGAATTCATATTTAAGAATAGAACCTTTGAAGTTTTTTCAAAGGAGAATAAAAATAAATTTGTCTTTCTTGGTTATATTTAAATGAACCGATATATATATATATATATATATATATCATAGATAATATCTAATTCGATTAAAAATTTATACTCAATATTTTTATTTCCATTAAAATAGAAATTGATCAGCATGATTATTACAACAGAATCTTATTGAGAACAATGAGACTCTTTATAAATATACTAAAATCAGATTGATTTCATTTATAAATGAATTTTTATTGTATTTCGAAGAAATTTCAACGTTCAATATCACTTCTTTGCTGAGTATCTTTTGTTCATTTGCTTTTGCTTGTTCAATTAAAATCTAGCGTGGTGTATCGAATGACAAAATAACCGTTGAATTATTTCATTATTTTAAAAAGATGTATGAACTATCAGTGAACACGACATATCTTTAATAACATAAAGAAAATAGATAAATTGTCTAATATAATAAGGAAATTTTCAAGATATTATTTAGTCACATGTATTCGAATCGCACTGGCAGATACTTAAAGCTCACGCTAATTAGCACTGATAAATAATTACTACATAAAGAAAAACGGAAGAGGTCCAATATTAGCGGTTTGCTTCTATTTTTATATACTTTTTTCATCTTGATATTTAATCAATTAATTTATTTTTATTCGAATAATAATCATAACATTTATCTATCAAATTCATTGATGTTAACACTTTTTTTCTTCAATGTACAGTAAAGAAATTAATAGTACTCTCATGTTATAACTACATGCATCAAAGTTTTCTGTATTCATATTACTATAAAAAAAAGTTGTTTTGCATAGTGCCGTCGTTCTCGAATGACATGCAGCTCTAATTAATAGACTAATACGCGCACCAGGAAGTAAAACAGAGAAGAAAAAAACGAGAAAGACACGATGAACAGCCTTAGTGAAAAGCGGTGACTCAATGTAACATGAGAAGCTATGTCACGCACACACGTATGCAGCATATAGTGAAGCGTCAAAGATAGATAGAGAGATTTAGTGAGTGAGTGAGATGGAAGCCTCCTCTTTTTTCTTTTTTTCCTTCGTTTTTTTTTCTTTTTATAAAAAGAAGCTCGACATTGTAAGACAATTCTGATTTCATTTTCTGCTAGAATGACTCTTCTTTTTCTTTTTCTATCCTTTCAAAAAATCTAGCGCATTAGTTATCAACGTCATTCTTGAGTATTCGTATACACGTCATCAATGCACTATTGTTAATCATTTTAATTGCTTAAGACGAACATGTTGAACTCTTTTTTTCTTTTTTTCACTTCTGTTACATTTCTAAGAAACATGATCTCAAGTTGAAAAATTATGCACAGTGTGATTCATCGTTCCTCAAGGTGAGCGAGAAAAATGACAAGAGAAGATGTCAAAGTAGATTTTAATCTGTCAGATAGAAAAAAAAAGAAACACGCTATTTAATATTTATTTAGTCCGGTATCATCAACAGTGGCTGATCCGTCGACAGTAACGGTGCGCATTGAAAGCGCATCAGCAAACGATTTAAATGTTCAGGATGTTTTAACATCTTCATCGTCCGATGAAGATGATGAATTAAAACAACAATGTAAAAAACAAAACATAGTCGATCGTCTTGGTCATCATAAATTAGCGACAGCTAATCGTCGACATACGTCAGGATTGGAAAAGAATCACCGTACACATTCTCTCCATCAAAAACGTCCAAATCGTTTAAGTACCGATGCTAATACAATGTATGTACCATTGAGTCGACCGATAACAGCTATTTCATTACCAGCAAAATCACCAGTATCGGACAATGAATGGGATCTTGACTCAGCTCAAACTTTAGTATCATCTTCACAGCGACGTAATCCATCGTGCCCATCAATATCTCCAATAACCGCACGTTCAAAATCATCATCACAATCACCTCTATTACAAAAGTTTTCGCCTCAACAAGCACCATCTGTATTTACAACAACATCAGAGTGTCTTGGTAAATTTCAAATGTTCAGAAATTTTTCTTTCTTTTTTTTCTTTCTTATCATGATATTAACTTTTATTTTAGGTACAGATTTTCGTCCATTATTACGACGTGATACGCAAAGACGCTCGCAATCGTTAGCTAAAACATCATTAGTTCTTAGTGATCAATCATCACCAACAACTTCAATTGTTTTTCTTACAGACGATATTTTATTAGGTTCGATACATGCTTTACAAAATGAAAGACAATTGTGTAAATTATCTATTGATTATCTTATTGATGCAACAAATATGAGACCCGATGAAATAGCACGAAAAGCAAGAGTTGGAGCACGTCTTCCATGTCAATGTGGTCATACACATTCACGTTGTACGTTAACACTTGAATTCGATCAATTATGTTTAACAACATCAACATCAACAGATTTGAATCATTTAAGTAGCAGTAAAATTCGAGAACTAACTCGTGCACAATTAGGACAACTATTTGCAGTATTGAACCGTTTTATATATAAAGCACTGCAAGAAGAAAAACGAATACTTATTTATGGTTTCGAATTAACACAGAATTCACCAATGGCAGTTATTGCAATTCAATATTTAATGTTAAGTGATGAACAACTAACACTAACTGAAGCGATTCATAGTGTACATCGTTTATTTCCTATACTAACAAAGAAACATCAACAATTTCCAACAATGGAAAAACGTTTTCAAGATTATCTAAAACAATTGGAGAGAAAAACTTGTCCAAAAACTGTTCTTGTTGGTACTATAAGCGGAGATGGTAGTGGTAATACTAGCGGAAGTGAATATCGACGATCATTACGAGATTTATCATCGGAAGTAAGTGAAAAAACAACACTCGATAATGATGTGACATCATTAACATCATGGACAACAATACCAACGTCGATTATAAACGATAGTTCCAATCAATCTCGTCATTTATTTACAACACGTTCAGCTTGGGATAGTTGAAAATATTATATTCGTATTTTTTTTTCTCATTTTCCTAAAAAAATTCATTTCTTTTAATGGTATTTTAATTTTTTTACTGACTAGGATAACAGACTCTTCATATAATCCAAGAAAAAGAGCATGTCCTTTCATAGAAGTTTAAAACATACTGTAATAGGTTCCTAATGAATTCAATTGACGTCATACCATGTTTAAAAATAGATTCTAATTTTTATTTCGGTAAAGATTAATCTCGTCGGCTCAATCTAAATGCGCAACCATGTTAAAGAATTGTTGAAAGCAAAAACAAAAAAAAGTAATTTTTTTATCGAATAAAAGCAATTAGACTGCCATAATTAAGTATCAGAAAAATCGTCAAACACCGTCGCACCGTGTCCTTGAGTATTAAACCAATTCTATGGTTTTTACCGCTGCCTAAAGACATGTTTAAATTAATTCCAGATTTTTTTCAATAGCAGTTTCTTTAAGAAGCATGTTTAAGAAGAATTAAAAGTCTAAAACCAAGCACTGTGAAAAAGATGTGCTTTTTTGAAAGTATCTAAACCGGTATTTCTATATTATTTTCAGTTGGATAAATCAGAATTTCAGAGAAGAAAAAGAAGACGGCATTAAAATGTACTTAGCGATACATATGAATAATAGATTTATACGGAGAAAATTTTCTATCACTTTATTTTATTTTTTTTTTATGATAATAATTTCGAAAAGGAAAACCTTTTTTCTTCTTCTTTATTAATGACTTTTACAAGAACTACTATTTCGAAAAACGAAGCAGAAATAAACTTAAACTTTTTTTCTATTATTTATGCAAAATGTATGAGATTATAAAAATTCTTCAGAATATTCTTTATAAACAAGTAGCATTAAGCAATAATAGATACTGGAAATTATTCTACAAGAAAACAAAATAATGTCATATACATGCTAAAAGTCAATATAGCTTGTAATAGACTTCTAAGCAGGAAACTCATTATACTACAAATCTTATCATTAAATGCATTGCTTGTATTCTCTTCTGCAGGGGAGAAAACAAGCCCGAATATAAATACCATATGGTGTCATTTAATGATGAAACAGTTAAAAAATTTATTTTGAAATTCATTTTTTGTACTAAAAACAATAGATGTTACATTAGCTTCTTCGGTAATGCAATTTTGATTGCAATTATTCATCACCGAGTCAAATCACAAAAATATTTTTGTCCTAGAGAATATAGTAATCTTTATTTATTTCTTTAATATCTGCCATTGCATCTTCAACAGACACAAGAAAGAAGACAACACCTAATATGAACGAGATACCAAAGAAGTTAAGTTTATCTCATTGATATATATTCCTTATGTTGGATAGTGTGAAAACAATGAAATATAGAAAAAATGAATTGATCTTACCAAATCCATTTACTATCAAGTTCATGTACGTCGTATAACAAGAATATTTCATACAATTTAAACCTTTCCCCTGCAAAGGTTTCCTATCCAAAGAGTTTATAATATCAAGCGCAAAAAATATCTTGCATTCTATATTAGTATGATCCGATTTCCACTGAAACGATGTTTCATCGAGAGTGACCAAATTACGGTCTCACCCCCATGTTACTATTTACAACTATACTCTCCATACTTCTAAAAACGCGTTCATCGTTAATCGATTTAGACTTAACTAAACTCTCTAATTGAAACAATCTGATCGTTAATTATGCACTGAACCAAAACTGACTAGACATTACCATTAAGAGAGAATCCATAAATCCAATAGTAATTCGTACCACCAAATCAGCTATAGAAAAACATGAACTCAAGGCAAGACATAACAATTAGTATCAAGACAACAAATGAGCTAATTTACTAATTCTTCAATTATTAGTTATTCTCAAACATATTAAACTCAATATTAACAAGTCCATTCATTTGTTCAACTTCTCTTATAACTTATTCGAAAGATGAAGTGACATTAAGAGCCAAGCTGAAAATAAAAATATTTCAAGAAGCAAGAATGTGTTAAACGTTTGTCATAGGATTTATTTATTTTGGTAAATGTTTACAAATTTTACCAAGAAAATTCTTTAATACTTGATTGTCATCATTCAATTTTAGCGAGCACTGAAGTACTCATGTGTAATTCACACTATTGATTTAATAACTTTTCTACTGAACATACTTGAATTCAATTATGTCTCTATATAATTATGGTAAATACGATTATCAATGGAGAACTATAATATCTGAGGATGCAGGCGTACGTTTTTATTGTCTTTACCTACGGTCTCCGGCACAGACAAATTCAAGAAAAACATGCTTATAAAATTTTATAGTTCATGTAAAAAATAGAGAATGGCCACTGTCACATTTTTGAACACACCACTACCAGTAAAGCACAACAGTCATAAGCATCATCAATCTAATAGAGCCACTTAGTCGAAAAACGAGTGTTAGAAAGGGCACGTCGTATTTTGCTGTTCACATGCTAGCTGCAAATTATGCGCATATAGTATTTTGTAGCATTAATAAAATGGATTTGGCATCTCTTAGTCGTGAAACCATGCTTTTGACAATATCTGAAACCTATTTCATTCAGCATATTGCTGTTCTGGGAGTTGACTTGCATCAGCGTCAGCTTGAATTTGCTTTCCTCTTTCACTAAGCAATAGTGTTTCTTCTAAAAAGTGCAAATGGAACGCCCATTTACACATAAAATAAGTTTTAGTGGAAAATTAAAGAGTTGCTTGTTGTGAAAAACAAAAACTAATATAGAGAAATTTAGAAGACAATACAAATATAGATGCTAAGTGTTATAGTATTCTCTTGCAATCCAATGACATTATTATGATCTCAATTCTACAGAAACACTTTACATTTGGGTGTGGATGTGAGGAAAGGCAGACATGCGAATCTACCTGCACAGACACACTCCACACCCAACCATCGGCAGCAAAAGATTGTCTCCATTGGTATGAATAGAAAGAGAAGTCGACCAGAAAAAGCAAACGTGCTTAACTAATGCAACAATTTATTTTTGATTTTTCTCATTTCAAGTTTTTTCTTTTATTCTATACTATATTTTATGGATAATCTTCATCCTTTCTACTGGTAAAATCTGTCTTATTTACTTATCAGATTTTCTTCTTTTATTTATCAAATTTCTTTTTTTACTGCTATTTTATGTAATAAACTGATCATTTTCTCATTATTTACTGGTAATCTAAATACTAATCATTTTAATCTTGAAGTTGATCATTTATAGACTATTTTACTGGTCATTTCATCTATTCTACAAATAAAATATTTTGTTGCCTATTTTTATCTACCTTTTTTTTTGTATTAACAAAAACCAATCGACCATAAAAACTGTTTATTAGCCTTAAAACATATCATTGATGATTGTCACAGAAAAAACAGTGCATCACAGCCACAGAAAAAAAACTAGACCATATTATTTGCTCAAAAGGTTTCATGTTACCGAGAGAAAAACACACCTACTGCTTTATTTTTGTTCACAGGTCTTTTTATATAGTGCTAATCTATGCTGTCATCTTTATCTAATCAACGTGTAATGATACATAGTAGTGATTAGTTCGTACACAGAAATGGTATTTATTGTATCATGTTTACCTGTATGTATCAAACAAAAAATTAACCATGATAAAAAATGCGTAGCAGACAATAGAAAAGAAACAACCACATTTATTTACTTTTTATGCAAAATTTTTCGTATGTAGATGTGCATGGGTTTATAATGAGTGTAACATCAATTTTCGTTCATTATCTTGTCTTTGTAAAATAGTACAGAAATGCAACTAGACATTGAAGATAGAAATAAACTAATGAAGTACAGTAATGAATAATGAAGTTCTTATTTAAGAGTCATACCATTTTTCCCTAATTAAACAAAATGAAGGAAACTGATTATTCTTCGTTGCTAGACCTACAATAAAACCGAATCGAGCGTTTACATGACTTCAATTAATCTCTTGATTTATCAATAAGATTCAACACAAACTTATACAAAAATCTTGCTTGAAAAAGTACAATTCAACTAATTTCAAATAGTGGAGTACAATTGAAAATTCAATTGTATTTTGTCTCAGAGAAGTGTTCAAAACTGAGTGAATAATATTGCTACAAAAATTTATCAATTTATTCATTCTTGTCTAATAAAAAAATATATACAGTACTGTATATATCATGTAGATGTAGGTGCCGGTTGGATCAACGTTCAGTTGTTTTTCGTGTTGATAGATAGTAATGAAAACCAATGAAATCCCATAAAATTAGACAAAATCTTTTTGCGTTAACAATTCAGTTAAACTGAACATAGATAATCTCGTTATCAGCAATAAATAAAATAAAATAACCTAGCAGATCATTTATGTTTCATCTTCTTAATTACTGAACGATAAAAGACATGAATAAATACTCACCGTTAATTAAGGCTAAATAAAGAATACAGCAGAGACACGATAAAATACTACAAGCTAATCGAATTCTATTTCAACCACAAAGATTTTCATGTAATAAAATGAAATATTTTTTAAATTTAAGATAACTCCTTTGCATTTTCAAAAATTTTAATGTTCATATGTTCTACTTCGTGCTAGACAAAAAGAAGCACTGGAATAAATTTATTGATTTTTTAACTGAGATTACAAGTAGAAAAGCAAATAAGCGTTAGATTAAAATAATAAACATTCAGTATTCAATAGCATTAGCAATAAATGTTAAATTGCACAAAGATCCAAAAACAAAATGAACACACCGCAAAAATGGAATGTGTGAAATTCATATGAATATAAGTACTTTTCATATATTTACAAACAAAGAAAAAAACAAATCATTGGATTAATCATATTTATAGCATAGGATATTTATGAAGCGAAATCATTTAAGAAAACCATTGAACATTCACCCATTGAGGTTCAGCACTTAACGCTTCGACAGCTCGAACAAGTCTAAAAGAAATAAATAGATATATACTAGAACGATTTTTCTCATGCGTGTCACGTATTAGTGTATGTTAGAAAAGAGATTTGTGTGCTAGAGAGACGTATTACGATTGGTTATCACAATGGAACAAATGTCTTTAATAGATTTTAATTAAATTATATATATACTGCTCAGCTCGATATTTTAAATGATTCACGACTACCAATCAAAATTAAGTTTAAACGAAAAACAAAATTATCATATATAAACTCAACGAAAATCATGACAAGTAGCGTTCTTCCGTCAATAGATACAACAGCTATGATTATTTTATTTTAGTCGATCATTTCAAATATGCTAAATTATATTACACTGTGATTTATTCTTCGTTTATAAAAAATAAAAACTTAATTTCTATTTGATATAATTTAACTGAGTAGATAAAGTCGTCCCATAAAGTAAAATGAATATATTGATGACTATACTTACTGTTCAAATGTTTTATCAGCATCTTCAGACACAAGTGTAAGATCAAAATATGTATGATAGTCCCGTTCTAATGCATCACTTTCCAAAATAACTTGTTCAGGATCTTTTGACTAAATCAACAAAAAAAAATAATAAACCAGTTTACTAAACAATTTTTCTTTACCAATAAATTCAATGATGAATTATTACTTATATTACTTTTCTAAAAACAAAATATAAAGATTCCGTGACGACGAAAAAAAAAGAAAATAAACGAACTGTTCTCATTTTCGGCATTCTCTGTTTATCGTTATACTGCTTATAACGAAGATAATCCATATTTGGTGCCTTAAGAAACACCACATATGGCATATATTCTTTATTACAAATTAATTTTAAGGCCTAGAATATAAAAATAAAAATAAACACCATCAAAGACTGTACGCTTATTCTTACTGTTGGTTCAATATCCAAAACACACATTTTACCCGATTGTATAACTCGTTGAACCGATTCAAATTTTGTTCCATATAAATCTCCACTATAGAAACCATGCTCTAGAAATGCACCTGCTTCTATTTCAGTTTCCATACCATTTCTATCCATTTGAAAATAGGCGTTTGTTTCTGAATCACTATGCAAAAGACGTGATGTATCTAAAAGGTATTCTGTGAGTTTTTGTTTTTAAATATATTTCATTTCTATATACGTGGTCTTGCCGTTCCAAATCGTTTAGGATCAAGGGCAATCAAGCGATTTTTTAAATCTCGCCGTCCAACACCATGTGCTCCAATTAAAATTAAACATTTTCTTTCAAATGGTGGCATCCGTGCTACCTCTTCGTAAAGACATATATCACCTTTATCAAACATTGATGAATCTTTGACATTAAATAATAATTTCTTCTTCTTTCGACGATCAATTAAACCACATACAACTAAATAAATCATGTTTCGATCGTTCATTTATCTCAGACTCAAGATTAAAATCTATAATGACGATCAGACATGTCATTGTTTCGGATAAAATCTCGTCAATTTTATAATGAAAATTGGAGATAAAAATCTTGTCAGCGATACATATCATGGTATTTTTTCTTAACTAAAAGCTTTAGCTAATCTAAAAAATGAGCCATGAGTTTTTCGAAGCAATAGCTTTGTTCTTATCATATGAATGTAAACATAGTCCATTTTATTTTACTTGTTTTCTTGAATAGATTCTTCTTCGATGAATGTATTATGACAGCTGAATAACTCACTAACCTCTACGTCAATCAACTTCAATACTCTTAAAGCAAGCTCCAACAATGCCCTTGTCAAAAGACGATTTTTACAGAGGTCTATTTCTTGTCCTTGAACGATATATACTAATTGAATTATTTCCTCTGAAAAATATTCTAAAACATATTTTCTTAAATTCTAGTATATTAATATAAATGGCAAGACAGTTTGTCTTTTTCGAAATTGATCAGCCTAATTGTATTTACTTAATAAATGTGATTCTCTAGTTAGTTTTCGTATTAGAACTTACTATCATCGTAAAACTAATTAGTTTTAAAATGATGAATTGTAACAGTCACTCATCTGAGCCATGTGCTTTTCATCAATACAAGGTTTTCTTTTTACTATAACCATATCTTTTTTACGATGCTGCTTTTTTTTACATATTTTTATTATTATTCTCTATTGTAGAGGAAGAAAAGAAAAGAGACGTAAAATGATTAGATGCGGTATTTTAACGTTGTTAGCATATCTAAAAATAACTTTCACATCAATGAATCTTTCTCATGTCGCTAAACTCATTTACGCCGAGGAAAAAAGACTTACAATAAATTTATTACTCAATGATATATGTAAAGCCCTCATAAAACTGTGCACATAGGAGTCTTGTATTATTATTTAGTAAAAATTTAAATGTAACTTACGTGAAGTTTTAGAAAAGTCATTTTCTGGTGATACAAAAGCTTTACGTCGTTCTTCAAGATATTGAGATGGTATGAGTCCTTTGAGTGTTGCATCTTTTACTTGTCTTGCCTTTGTTTTTAACATAAATTAAATTGAAAAGAATTTTTTACTACAATCAATTTTACCTGCCACCAATGAACATCGTCTTGTGAAAGTATCTGTAATATGTCGCCTTCATCAAATGCTAATCCAGCTTCTTTAGCTGGAATCAATTTATCTTTTGCTGGATCATAAGAAAAATGAGTTCGAATAAACAGCTAAATCGGTAAACAAAGGAATTGGGTTTTTTATTTTTGAATAAAATGAAATTTTCTTACTTGGGATGGTGATGGAAAATCAAAATAATTAGGAATGACTTTAAATGTAACAGCACCACGAGCATTTCTTAATTTGTCTTGTAGTTCTTCAGGTGTATTGACAATTTCGCCGTTTATTTCTTTAATTATATCGCCGACATGAAGAAGACCTTGAATATTTAAAATAAAGCAGAGAAAATGTTTTTTGTTTCAAATTTGCCAATTAAATTATTTTACCTTGTTTATCAATTAAACCTCCTTGTACAATGCGTTTGATTTCTAAATCTCCCATGTCATTTAATCTAACAGTTATACCCAAATGTTCTTCGCCAGTTGACTCAATTCCAATAGTTTTCGGTATCATATTTGATACTGTACCGGGATAAATATACGATGGTGATGATATATCAGGTAATGGTTTAGCTGCATCAGGTAAATAACCAATGGGCAATTGGTCTTCAGCATATTCTCGTGTTGCTATTGTTTGATGCGCATCCATAATCATCTATTTAGTAAAATCAAATATTGAAAAAGAAATGAACTTTGTTTTTTAATTTGAAAACAAATCTTTACTCGTATATGTGGACGTCGTAAAATACTATCTAATTCACGTGCATGTTTATTTGTCATACCGACTATTTCAAGATCTTTAAGCAATGATGTTACTAATGATAGATTGTCAGTTGACACAGGACACATCATTTCAGGATGCTGAATAAATCGTATAAGCAAATCATGACACTAAATTTAAAAAAAAATTATTTTTAGAGAATAAATAAATTTAGTTTCTCCTTACATGTGCCAGTGAAACGATCGTTTTTGATGAAAATACATCTGCTAGTGTATTTCGTAAACCAACAATAAAATCATCCTTAGGTTCATTGTTTAATAATTCAGCAAGATCAGCTATGGAAGCTACAATAGAAAGCCAGAGAGCGAAAGAAATTAATTAGACACATTTGTTTTTGACACAAACCATCAAAAAAATCCGGCATGTAAGCATCTGTAATGAGACTATTAATTGAAGCTCTATCAGAGTCCATGTCCATTGGAGCGGGCATTTTAATTCAACACTCTAAATTTCAATGAACGAAATAATTACTGTTTTTTTTCGACGATGACCTTCGCAAAAGTAGACAGAACAGAACACAAACATTCTATGCAGGTATGAACAAAGGTAAATATTTTTATCCAATTCAAAATTTAACATCCTAAACTTTTTTCAATGTAAAACAGATGTCGCTCAGACACAATCGAGAGAATGAAAACAAATTTGAAACGTTGCGATAGCTAGCGGATAATTCTCAATGATCAATTGATGAAATTCATTCTATGCGAAAGTAATTTTTCTATTTGAAAGGCATAGTCAAGGAAAAATCTGATGCTTCAGAATGTTTATTACCAAGTAATCGAGGATTATATGAGAGTATAGTATTGTATTAATATTGTTTTCTTTATTTCAAAAGGCTTAGTAAATACCCTTGAAGAGATGACATCCTTCTCGTGAACCAGTAGGTTTCAATGAAAATTCAGCTATGATTATTTTCCCATCCAGATCTGAACTATTTAGATATAATCTATGATAATTGGTTTTTCTTGCTGATCACTAGCTAATGAAAGATTAATTATAAACACTATACAAGGCTATAATCACTTAATAAGTAAAGAATATTTTGATAAAATTTCATCTTAGAGAGATGAGTTTCTTTGGAGATTAAAAAAATAACTGTTGTAAAATGCAGTAAAAGCTTAACAGATAATAGAATAAACGAGACATTTTGGTTCCATTATTTTTGAAACTAAAACTCTGATAAATCTTTCGCAATAGATAAGATGTTAATTTACAAACAAGAAACGTTGAAAAGTATCGATTTAATCAATAGCCGCGATCCCTTCCGACCGAATGCAATGTTTCAGTCGGATAATATCAGGTGATATTTAAACTATCGATTGCGACTAGTGTCTTTCTTTCTGATCATTGTTCTATTTTAGTTGTGTGAATATGTGTATTGTGACAAGCTTTTATGCTATCTTATGAAACGTTTAAACCCTCAATGCTACGTAATAGTTTAACAATAGAATTTTTCTTCGTATAGTACAAAAGTCACCATGCAAAGTGCAGTTAATATCGTGTTTAATTAGTCATAATTGGTCTCCTTGAAAATTTTCTGACAAGTATTAATCTTTGCCGAATCAACCATTTTCAAATTCGCTTGTGATCGATGAAGCATGTATGAATAACTTGGTTTTGTTTATAGTAATTAGCAGATTTCGATGCATTTGATGCGTTAAAATGACAATAAGACAAGAGAATTTCAAAATCAAGCATAAAAATGATCAGGAATAATAGTATTAAAAGTAAATGATCCTTTTGTCTTTTAAAAATAATACGCGACGTGCAAATAGGACTATCAACAGAGTTGATGAATATAGAGTTACACGATTAAAAATTCTTTAGAGGAAAAAGAAACATGTCTATCTTGTTATGTCGATGAGTTTTTATCAATGAAACACTTAGGATACTTCTGTTTTGGTAAATTCCGGATCCAACTGTGCAACACTAAAATAATCAGGTGGATTAGTTGTTGTATATAGTGGTGGTAAATTGTTTGACGCATCGTTTGGATATAGTGGTGGTAAACTGTTTGACGCATCGTTTGGATATAGTGGTGGTAACTTGTTTGGCGCAGCGTGTGGATATAGTGGTGGTAAATTGTTTGACACAGCGTTTGGATATGGTGGTGGTAAATTGTTTGACACAGTGTTTGTATATGGTGGATACCGATATTGAACTGGATAGTTTGGCGTTACATGAGTTGGCCGACTAATGTGTTTGATTATGCAGACAATTATGACAAAAATTCCACAGCAACAGCAAATACTACCGATCACTGAAAACACACCAACGGCAATTCCAACCGAAGAGCTGTAACTTGATGTTTGGTTGTATGACATTTTTTTGTTTTAATTTTGATGCATGCAGTGCACAATGGTTGAAGAATGTTATTTTTCGTTTTTTTAAAATATGTTGGCAAAAAGAAATCAGAGGTTGATGAATGTGCGCAAAACAAGCAGTGTCATGGAGAATGTGTATGGACGAAATTGCGCATTGGACTTTATTTTCATTCCTGCACACGGTTTACATTTTTGATTCTGTATTCATTGCAAAAGTGAGTCAGTGCGTCAATTCGTGTTTCGGTACCGGATCGAAACGAACTTCAGAAAAAAATCACTCAAGTCTGATATTGTCTTGCATTTTTTTAAGTAATCAATGCAGCTACCTTTGAAAAGCAAACAACAATGCACGTTTTACAATATAAAAAACAAGAACGTAGAAAAGCAATCGACAGAAATTTCGAGAACAAATCGCAGAGTTAGGATATTTTTTCTAATCGTCTCAGTTGTTAGCATGCTGCGATTTATTTTATTCGATGTACATTCGTTCAGCGGAATATGCAAATTCAATATAATTCAGGATAACCGTTACATAAAGTATGTTTCTTTGACATAAAAAAATTTCGGTAATCTATTCAAAAATTTGATTTTCATGATGATCACATGTTGAACAAAGTCAGATGATTTATTGAATTGAACAAACATATTTTTTCGGTGGAATTTTGCTTTGGCGAAGTCTATAAATCATTGAAAAGAATCCTTTTAAAGTCTATAATTCGATCATGACATTTGTTTTTTGAGAAGTTGAATGGATGTCGATTTGTATCTTACACTATTTATTTTATTCTTTTAATAGAAATGTTTCATTTCAATGATACTTCTAACACCTAATATTATTCACATTCTATTTGCCTTTGACGTTACTGAAAAGTACAGTTACAAAAATGCGAAAGATCGATTTAAAGTTTCACAGCGTCTTCTTTAGAAGGAAATCAATTTTATAGCAGACTTGAATATTTTTTTCGACACTTATAACATGAATAGCGTTCATACTGACAACTATAATGATCAAAACTAAATTCTTTGTGTGACATTCACCGAAATTTTTACTAATTTCTTTTGTTCTTCAAAAAAACCCAAACAATATTCGTGATGATTGTTTAGTGTAAATGTGCTGTAGACGTAAACAATATTATCGTATATCGCTGAAACTAAATGTCAGAAATTACCTTGATCGATTATGATTGTACCCTGGATCTTATATGATGAACCATAAAGAAAAAGATCAACTGATTCTTACGTGAGACTTATGTTTCTAGTTTATAATTGATTCGAACAATAAGAGTTTTTTTTATTATTGGAGTAGAATCTAGCATTGCCGATCCAAGTCATCGTTTGATTTCGTTCAAGAAAAACTATAGGTTATTAACGTTATTTTGTGAAACACGATCTGAAAGGAGTGTTGAAGTATATAGGGTAGAAATTTGGGCCCCGGGGCGCCCCCCCCCCCCCCC